CCCCGAGCCCTTCACCGAGTTCCCAGACGGCGATCGTCTCTACTCCCGGCTCCCCCATCCCCAGCCCTCGCCCCGCCCCTCACCCACACGGCCGCCACCGCATTCCCGAACGCGCTCACTTCTCCACGGCTCACGCTCTCTCCACCCAGCCGACGGGCCCCGCCCCGCCTTGGTCCGCGCCACGCGGCTCGCCCCTCAGTCCCGCCCCCTCCCCCGACTCCCCCAGAGTTCCCCGGCTCTTAGCTCCACCCTGCCCTTCTGATGCCCCAGATCCCCTCAGGGGCTCTTCATTACTTTGCGGGCGGAGCTGCACAGCGCCGCCCGAGGTCTTCCCCCAGGGAAGTGCCTGAGCTCGCGCCCACGGTCCTGCCCAGGGACCCACGACCCCGCAGGACCTAGGAGACCCACCCAGGCGCAAGCACGCACGCGCAAGCCCCGCCCTCCGAGATCCGAGCCCTCCGCCCTCAGGTCGCTTGCCCCGGGCCGAGCCCGCCTCCAAGCCAGGCCCCGCCCCTCATGCCGGGTCCCGCGCACGCGCGTCTCCCAGCCCAGCCTTCGCCCCCGCCCCCGTCAGCCCCGCGGTCTCTCGGCGCCGGGTCGCCCCCTGCCCCCTCCCTCTCCTCCCATCCACGCTCTGTCCCACCCTCCCTAGCTTTGTGCCCGGGACGCCGTGCCGCTTCCCTCCCTCTGCCGCGCCGCGGGAGGAGGGAGCCGCCACCGAGGAGCTGCCACTTGCTGCCCGGGGCTGGGGTACAGGTAGGTGGCGGCCGCGGGCCGGCGGCTCCCCGAGCCCCTCGCTGAGCCCGGGGGCTGCGTGAGGGGCGGAGTGGGGGAGGGGAAGACTGGAGGCACTGGGTGTGGTTGATGGGAGGCGTGAGGATGCGGATAGAGGGGTGTGGGAGATGGGTGTAAAGGTGGGCTGGGGTACGGTGTGGGGGGCTGTGGGACTTGGGGGTGGGAGAAGGGAGCAGGATTAACTTGCGTGGTCTCGAGGAGGGGCATGCGTGGGAATTGAAAGAGGAATGGAGAATTGCAGTAGGGGGTGGGGAGAGAGGGGGAGGGACCGGGGTTTGAGGTGTGCAAAGAGGAAAGGTTCTAGGACTAGAATAGGAGAAGGGGTGCGGTCTTGGGTAGGGGAGAAAGAAGTTGAGGCTATGTGCAGTGAAGTTGGCGGTAGGGAAGCTTGAAGGAAGGGAATTTTGAATGCTGGGCCAGAAGGTTAGGAAAGAGACGGCTATTGGGGTCTAAGAAAGGGAATCCCAGAGAGGAGGAAGGGAAGAACACACGGTGAAGGACAGAGGGGAGTGCCTGGCCGTTTGATGGTGGTGGGGGAATTGTTGGGGGAAGGCAGGTGGAGGTGGGATTGGGTCTGGGGGAGACAGAACCGTATTTCACAAACAGACGTGGAAAAATTGGAAGGACAAGAGGTTTGAGAGGTGGGGCCAGAGGAGCTGGGAGTGGGTGAAGGGAGGTGGGGCTAGGGTTTTGGGTGTGGAGATTGGATTTTTTGTGTGTGAGAAACTGGAGAGTTGGAAAGAAGGTGGAAACAGGCTTGAGTATCACAGTGTAGGAGAAATTGGCTTGTTCTTGGAGGGAACTAGGAAGCTGGGTATGGTGTGAACCCCTGGAGCTTGGGAAAGGAAAAGGTAATGGGTAAGAAGCAGGTAGGAGAGTGTGAGTTATAAGGAAAAAGAATAAGGAGAGGAGTTAAAAACTGATAACTAATGGTATTGACATGGAACAGAGATGGTAAATCCTAAGTTGGTGGTTTGGAACTAATTTTTGTTTGGGTTTTTAGCTTAGAAATTTTCTCAAGATTACTGTATTTTGAAATAAACTAAGAGTGGCTGCATCATCCTTGGATCGAAGGCCTCAGATTGACAGATGTTTTTCTGGTGTGTGTGGGTAATTTCTGCACTGGCTTAGTAAAGATGGCAGGCCTCAAGCCCTGTCTGGCTCTGTTCCCACTAACCCTGGCCCCCTTTTTTTTCTCCTCCCTGCCCACCCCCTAACTTGAGCCAGAGAATTCCAGAGGGATCAAACAGGTGGGTGAGATTAATTTTTTAAGTTTTTTTTTTTTAATCCTTGAAACTGATGTCATATTTTTATTCTTGAGGCAGCATCATGTAAAGAGTTTGTGCTTTGTAGTAATACAGTCTTGAGATTGTTTTCGGCTTTGCCACTTACTAGCTGTTTCTTCTCAAAGTTCCTTTACTGTCTGAGCCTCTTCTGTTAGATGGCAGTCGAGACCTCATAGGATTGTTGAATATCACATGAGATCATTTTAGCATGTACCTTGCTCTGGGCTTCGCAGCTGGCTGGTGCTTAATGGATGGTAGCGCTCACATCCACTATGATCACTGAGATGTGTTATGTTAGGGGATTGTTAACTTTACCTATGAAAGTTAGGTGTTCTCTTTGTCTTTAAAATTAGATAGCCATAAATTCAACTCAGTTTTTATCCTGTTGCCTACCTGTCTCTCAGTCGAAGTCATGCTTTTTGCTTAAAGTGGCTCCAAGCTCTAAAAAGGCTGTCATATTTTGTTATTGATCATTTTTTCTTGCCTTTTATTCAAAAGGCTATAGAGAATTGAGTTTTTAGTGTAGCACAGTTCTATTTTATTTGCTTGATGGAATGACATGCTTCATGGTAACTAGCTCATTTTTGGTAACCCAATAGAATATAAACTGTTGTAATGCTTTTCTGTGATATTGTATAGTTTGCTTTTCTATGATATTGTATGGGTTGCAAGACTGCCTTTCTCATAGGCCTGGGAGTAAGTATCAAATGTCCCTGTTACTCTGTTGATATATTTATCTGATGCAGACCTACACTGGACATTGTTACTCTTATAGGAACTAATTAACCAGTTTGTGTGGGGTTTTGCCTTGGTATATGGCACATGCCCTGTCTCCTGGGGGCGGGGTCCCATTTATATTAGACCTTTCTGCATAACAGCAGGCACAAGCACAGCCAACTACAGAAGCTTTGGAAATTCTCCTGTTTGTATTTCTTCACCTTGAAAGGTTTAAACAGTAATTATTAAATCATTTTATAGTATATCACAAACTCTCAGGATACTCCTTTTTGGAATACATTATTTTATTATTAGAACTCATAGGTCACTGTGATTCCCAAACCAAGGTCAGTTCCTCAAGGACCATAATAGAAGAACAGAGAGGCCTTGGGCTTCTGAACAAAATGTGTGGGCTTACTCTTACAGAAAATACAGATTTTTTTCCTGTTTAGAAAGAGAACTGGAATTTGATGAATAATTTGAAGGTAAAATATACCCAGACTATGGCTTTTTTGAAAATGTTCCTTGGACACAAAAGCTGTCAGGATTTTGGGCAGCCTGGGTTGGCATCCTTACAGCTGCTTGTGCCCTCTGCTGGACAGAATCAGACTTTTCTCATTTTCTCCCAAAGTCGTCATCTATTCATCCATTTGCCCAATTTTACTCCAAAGTATGCAGAAGGCATTTTGGGGAGTGAGAGTTAGGGGTAATATAGGCTGAGCAGACCCTGTTTCACTATCTTAAAGTTTATAGTATACTGACCTGTTACGGTTTTTTTCATAGACTTTGCCTTTCTACTATTAAAATCACTCCTTTTTAGAGCCAGGTTTTGTGATTTGTAGGTAGACCAAGGCTCAGAATATCCAGTCACAGGATTAAAAACCAAAGGAGGCCTGTTTGACTGAAGTTAAGGGGACTGTATGCTTACCCTTACTGGAAGAAGAATTTAGAAAATAAGTGAGACATCTACTTAGCAGCAAGCATTGGCACTGGCAGGAGTATGGGGCAGGAGAGATGGCACTGTGATAGGAAATTTTATCAGGTTTGTACATTTGTTTTTTCCTGGTAGTACCAGTAACTATAGACTCAGACTGATTTGCTTCTGCCACCTGCAGAAGGGTCTGGCAAGTGGGGGAGGATCCTGCAGCTGTTGCCTGGAAGAGGCACTGACTCCTAGCAACAGTTTCAGCAGGCCCTGCAGCTCAAAGCACTAACTCTGTCTCTTTGAGATCTGACCCTTTCTCTCATTTAGATCAGCAAATACCTGTTGAGGACTTACTCAGTACCCAGTGCTATATTGGGCCTGGGAAAGAGAGATGAGTCAAGTAAATGTCTTGTATTCAAAGAGCTCATTGCTCTGGAACAAGTGAACAGAGTACGCTATCCAAGTACTATATAGAAAGGTACACTGGTGTATGGGCACTGGTGTATGGGCATGCACAGTACAGGGGCTAGGGTGGCATGGGGCTAAGCTGAGTGTTTATGATGATCTAGCCAAAGAGCAGTGGGACAGGAGAGACAGCTAACTTATAGAATGAAATGACTTGGACAGAGAATAGGTTACAAGGATATGAAGCAGAAAGGGTGAGGCACTCCGGGAAGGCAAGGCCCTCTTTTCTGATGTGTTTTTATACACATAATTATCCTCCAGAGAAACATGGATAGTGCTGGTGCCCACAAACACGATCACTGTTTGATCTCTAGGGACTCAGCATTTTTGATCACTGACTTGATTGTTTGCTGACAC